TGTGCCACCATGCCCAGCTAATTTTTTGTATTTTTAGTAGAGACGGGGTTTCACTGTGTTAGCCAGGATGGTGTTGATCTCCTGACCTCGTGATCCACCCTCCTCGGCCCCCTTAAGTGCCGAGATTATAGTCATGAGCCACCACGCCCGGCCAACATGTTTCTTATCAGACTTCAAGTCTTTGTTGATGTTGATGCCAGAGAGGTATAATGAAGCATGTCTGACCCCCACTTCCTGTCATGGCCTGAAACCGTCTCTCTGGTTACATTTTAAAACAGTCCTGGCTTAGGAGGACGTTCATTCAGATGGGTGGGGGCAGAGGGCTTAGGATTTTATTTTTGATGTACAAGTCCTGTAAGATAAAATTGCACAAATTTTAAAGAACAAGTGTCATGCCCAATGTATGGATCACACAAAAAGTTCACCAAACTGTCCAATGCTATAACCAGAGACATTCGAATGACAAATCAGGATGAGAAGTTGATGTTTCCACACTGTAGACAGCTTTTCCCAAGACGTCAGAATAAGTCTTCATATCATAATGAGACTCTTACGCCCTTAATATCTACATTTTTCACTTGACAGAACCTGACCCCCAAATCCTTTCCTGCCAGGGGGATGGCTTGAGACCAGGAGGTCAAGACCAACCTGGTCAACATAGTAAAACCATCTCTACTGAAAAAACAAAAATAAAAATATTAGTGGGGGCGAGGTGGTGCATGCCTGTAGTCCCGAGAACGAGGCAGGAGGATTGGCCAAGGCGGATTTTACCAACACCACAATCACATCCCATAAGTAAATATCTTTTCCTCTCTCCAGGACTACAGGTAAAGAATGGTAATTGTGCACACCATACTTAGATTCCCTTTCAAAAATGTAATCATAGGTTAGAGGACCTTGGACTGTTTTTTTTAGTTGCAACAGATGTAGAAGCCACTGAAGAATGAACTCTGTGACTAAGTCCAGCAAAGCTGTGCAAGTGTGCTAGTTTGGAAAACATTGTGTCTTTCAAGTAGAAAAACGACAGATTGACCATTTATTTCTTCCCACAGTTCAGACTAGAATACAGATGTTTAACCCAAGATCCAGGGAGGGTCTTCAGAGAGATCAAAATCTCCTGATGGTGCCTGAGGACCTCCCACTTTGTCGCAGTGGCAGGAGGAGACAATATTCTGCAATGTCACTGCCCGAGGATGATGGACCAATCAGGGCAGTTAGTGAACTCGATCTGGCCAATCGGAAGTCAGAACAGTAGGCGTGACAAGCGAAGCTGATGTAGTGTCTATCAGTACAGGCTCCAGTGAGACAACCTTCCCAAGCAGTGATGGCAGGGAGAGGGAGAAGAGGGGACGGAGACTGATTTTCCCGAATAAAGCATCCCCTGGGATTGGCTACTTTAAGTTCAGAGTAGGCCCGCTCTTTCCATTCTTCCAAAATCAGAGTAAGCATGTGCTGATTTTCTCTTTCCATTCTCCCTACCCCTCCCCCCACCGTGGTGCATTTGTTATCTACTTTTAATAAGGCAGGTCGCCATCTCAAATCCTTCCTGTCAGTTTCTAACTTTTTCAGGTATGGGATTTTTCCTAGGAACTCTCTATTAACTTAAGAAATTTGGGCCAGGCGCTGTAGCTCAGGCTTATAATCCCAGCATTTTGGAGGACACAGCTAGTGGATCGCATGAACCCGGGAGGCAGAGGTTGCAGTGAACTACGATCACACTACTGCACCCCACCCTGGGCAATGGAGCAAGACCCTGTCTCCAAAAAAAAGCTCACTCAAATCATTCCTCCTGGGCTCAATCGATCCTGTCACCTCCGCCTCATTACTACAGGCATGTGCCACCTCACCCCTGCTTATTATTATTATTATTATTGGGTTTTTTAGTAGAGACGGTTTCTCTGTGTTGGCCAGGCTGGTCCGGACATCCCGGACTCAAGCGATCTGCCCGCCTTTGCAGAGTAGTAGCCCAGGGGACAGTGTGGGGTGACCAGGTTTCTGAGGAGGGGAGGACAGAGATACTGGGGGCAGGGAGCAGGGTCTCGGGGGAGATCTGGACCCTTGGGAGCCTCCCACCCTCACTCTGTCATCACCTAGCATCCCTGGAGACAAGTCTGTGACCGTGCACTACATTTGGTGACTCTCAGTCCATTCTGGAAGGTGGGAAGGGAGTCAGCCAGCAGCATTAAAGCCCTACTGTGTGGCAGGGGAGAAGCTAGGGAAGATCCCCCATCTTCTGTCAGTTAGCCATGGCATCAGCCAGGACGGATTATCATCCCCACTTCCTAGATCCAGCACACAGGAAGCGGCTCCAGCTGAATGGCAGACATGCCTAGCTGAGACACTGCAAGAATTCCTTTTTATTTTCCAGGCCTTCAATGATATTGCCCAATACTTCTCTAAGAAAGAGTGGGAAAAGATGAAATTCTCGGAGAAAATCATCTATGTGTATATGAAGAGAAAGTATGAGGCCATGACTAAGCTAGGTAACAGAAAGTTCTAGGTACAGGCAAGTCTGGGGACACATGAGCATCCCTTTTTCTGCTTTGGCTACTTCTTAGGCTGCAGAAAGTACCCCACATTTTCCTTTTGTGCAGGGAAAAATCGCAAGGCAGCTTCTGGATGTTCTGCTCTTCTGTATCCTGCAGGGCTGAGGGCAGGGACTGGCCACAGTGGAGCTCATACCTGGATCCTGCACATTCCTCTCCCTTAGGCGTCTGTTCGGATGAGTCCAGCTGTCTCTGTGACATTCCGGCACCGCCTACCCCCACCACCACCCACCCTACCTTCCTTCTCTCGGCTTGTCTCTCTTTTATTTTTTTGAGTCTGAGTCTCACTCTGTCACCTAGGCTAGAGTGCAGTAGTGCAATCATAGCTCAATGCAGCCTCAAACTCCTGGGCTCAAACGATCCTCCTGCTCAGCCTATGGAGTAGCTGAGGCTACAGGCACGTGCCACCATGCCAAACTAGTTTTATTTTATATTTTGTAGATAAGGGAATCTCTCTATGTTGCCCAGGCTTGTCTTGAGCTCCTCGCCTCAAGCTATCCTCCCGCCTCAGCCTCCCAAAGTGCTGGTACTACAGACATGAGCCACCGTGCCAGGCCTAAGCTTGTCTCTTAAGGAATAAACATTTGGCTTCTTTCTAGGTTTCAAGGTCACCCTCCCACCTTTCATGCATAATAAACGGGCCACAGACTTCCAGGGGAATGATTTTGATAATGACCATAATGGCGGGAATCAGGGTGAGTAGATGGGAAGGGGATGGAAAGGGTCTCCTCAAGCCCAACTACTTTTCAGCTCAGCTACCTGGGAAAGATCCTCAGGCATTTGTTCCCTCATACACATCAGGACTGAGTGAAAAAAAAAAATTGCTTGCAGAAAGTTAACTACAGAGGCCATTCACATAAAATGCTAAAACATGCAAAACAAGAATATATATTTTATGGATAATAAGTAAATGGTAAATGTATAAAAACATGAATGCGAATAAAAAGCCATCAAATTGAGAACAATGACTGTAAGTGGAGAAGGAGGGAGGGCAGGGATTGGTGAGTGCTGCACAGACAGCTTCAGCCGTGACTTGTTGATAGTAGGGGTTTTTTTGTTTGTTTTATTTTGTGGCTTGTTTGTTTTCACGGAGTTTCACTCTTATCACCCAGACTAGAGTGCTATAGTGTAATCTCAGCTCACTGCAACCTTCACCTCCTGGGTTCAAGTGATTCTCCTGCCCCCGCCTCCTGAGTAGCTGGGATTACAGGCGCCCACCCCCATACCCAGCTAATTTCGGTATGTTTGGTAGAGACGGGATTTCAGCATGTTTGCCAGGCTGGTCTCAAACTTCCTGATCTCAGGTGATCCACCTGTCTCAGCCTCCCAAAGTGCTGGGATTATAGGTATGAGCTACCACTCCCTGCCTGTTTATAGTATTTCTAACATTCTCAATAAGTAAATCAGGTCTAACATAGTTGTGGGGTACCGTTGAGATGCGACTGGACTCAATAGTATTCCACATACTTTTCTGTGTTTTTGAAATATTTATTTTTTAAAGGACATGTTGTTCTTGCTAAGCACTGTTAATGAATGAAAGGACAGTTAAGAAAGCGTTACAAGTGAAAAAAATTTTAAAAGAATGTATTAAAAGTGCAGATCTGCAAAAAACTTCCAGAGTTTGTTTGATTAACAACATGTAGGTATTGGATAAGTATCTTATGAGAGAGGATAATGAAAATATTATGTAATAAAGATCGCTGTTGATCTCTATTTTACAAAAACCAAATACTCTTCTCACTCCCAAACGACCCTGAATCTCCATGATGAGCTTGGAAGAGAGTTTGAAAGAGTGATCCCTCATCCAACACAGAAAGCTTTCCCACTTTTCAGTGAGCAGAGATAACATAGGGTGAAAAAAAGACAGGTTCTTGCATAGAGATCTTTGTGGATTTCAGGACTATTAAGGGGACATATATGTTTACTTGCTCTTCTGCTCTGAAAACACAGTTATAAGACAAGGTCAGAATGTCCAAAATGTCTCCAATAGACCTATTACTCCCCAACTAAACAGGCCAGATTCTACGATCTCCCACAATCATTATAAGAGGTCTGAAAATCCAGTGCTTGAGTATCTGCCAAATTTTTGACATTAAAGGAGTGTCTTTATACTGAAAATATTTCAGAGCCACTGGACTAAATCATCCATGGTTCATCACACATTTAACAGCTTAATTGACATATCATAAGATTCACCCATTTCAAGTGTAAAATGATTTTTAGTTGTTGTACATCTTGAGTGGATACAGTTCAGATTCCCAACCAAATAATTTAATTATTTGAGAAAAATTAAAAGATATGTAATGGAATAAGATGAGACTGTGATGGGGTTTAATCCCCATTTGATAAACCATGAGATGGAAAATTCTGAATTGATGCCACAGATAAATGCACCAACCATGACTAAACATAATTCAGAAGCAAATCTCAAATAACTCCTCAACAGTGAGTGGACTCATAACCCTCTGCTGCAGAATGCACTCATGCGACAGAAGTCTCTCTAGAGTTTGGAAATCTTTACCAACAAAGAAAAATTCTGATGTATTCTCTTTCAGTTGAATGTCCTCAGATGACTTTCAGCAAGCTCCAGAGAATCCTCCCAAAGGTGAATATCTCCAAATTTTAAGGGCCAGAGAACCTTTGTTCCTCCACGGATGCAAACACTGGTAAGGGTGGGGGAATATCAAAAATGCCCTCACTGCCTCCTTCTCCCCATGTCTATCACAACACCTGATGTAGCATCAACGGCTTGATAATACTAACAGTTGTGATCCTAATACCTCTTTGTTTTCATAGAGATGCCAGATATTCTAAACAGTTTACATGGATAAATTTAATCTTTAACAAGACCTCTATGATGATGTTTCTATTATTATCTCCAAATAATAACATCTCATACATTTCGGTTGTCATCCACACAAAAGCCATGTGACTTAGTGCAAATCTTCTAAGTTCTGTGAGCTGCAGACTCCTGGTCCATGAAATGGAAGTAAAGAATCATAGTTCATGTTATAGATCCTAGTTATTAGCAACATAATAATGACATGAGGCTGTCGTGGTACAGAGATGTTAAAAAATTTTCCTGAGGTGCAGTGGCAGTGGTAGTCTAATCCAGAGCTCCAAGCCATTTAAAGCTCATTCACGTTTGCATTTGTTTAAGAAGTTCAGATACTGCTCACTAGGGCTTTACCTCATAGGGCCTGCTGGTGCTTCCATTGAGACACCCACTCTTGCAACAGGAAGGACCAGCTGGCCTCTGCTCTGTAACTGGGGCCACTCGCATCGCTTAGGAATCGCTTGACTGTTGGTCCCTTTCTACTGTGAAACCCTTGAGGGCCTTGTCTACACCTGGGGCACCCCGGAAGCCTCAGTCCCTGCCCAGGGTATCCCTCAGAGGCCCTTGAATGAGTGATTTCACAAGTACAGATTCAACTCTGGTTTAGAGGGTAAAGGGATCTGTGAGTTGGGTTGCCAGTGTGGAGAACCAATTCAAAGAAGGATCATGAAAAGTATTAGCTTTTGTTACTACTACATTTAAAGTGTTTGCAAGCTCAGAGAGGACTTTCCCTTAGCCTGTTTTATATGTATTTTTCACTATTTCATAAGTGAAGAAGCTGGGTAAATGTAGCTTAACAATGTTGGTCAGTGACACATCCCAGTGTAGCCAGAATTGGTATGGGTACCACCTCACTTAATTCCACATTCAGTGTTCGTTCCTCGGTAGGGTGGTATGCCGTATCTAGTACTGCTTTCTTTGCTGCCTAGATTAATTTCAGCAAACCATTTCTTTCCCTCTCCCTTCCCTGTATTCATCTCCACACACCATCTTTCCCAGCAGTGTTTTGTCCCCTCTCTATGTTTTTACATTTACTCTCTCAGCAGCTGTCTACAAGCTTATATGGGATCCCTTGTATTTTATAGAAGCTCTTCCTTTTATAGACCTTGTGAATTCTTAGAATGCTATTCTCCAAATCTTCTGTATACCAAACTCTCAATTACATTGAGATTTTTCACAGACTACTCTAACAGATATAGTAATAATGGGTCTAAGGTTTCAGCCTCTCTAAGCCAGAGAATGAGAAACTGGATAAAGAAGGCCCATGGGCACTTGGGAGCAGCGAGGCATCTCCTTTTTTTGAGTAAACAGAGACTAACACTCTCCAGCCTACCCAACCCTCATTTTCCAATCTTCCCCATCATAGGACCCAAAAGGGGGAAACATACCTGGACCCACAGACTGCGTGAGAGAAAGCAGCTGGTGATTTATGAAGGGATCAGCGACCCTGAGGAAGATGAAGAGTAACTCTGTAAGTGAACCTTTGGCTCATTCCCCACATCCCTGCAGATGTGCTATTCTGTTACGGTACCGGTATCCCATCTTGTCACTTGTTCCCCAAATCATTCCCTTCTCATAATTTTCTAGGGTACAGCATTGAGGCTGAATGATGAGATTTCCCATGCTCTTTCTACTCCCTTGTCTGTATATGCAGGGATCCTCCCTACCCAGGATGCTGTGGAATCCCAAACCCCAGGTCAGCCCTGATATGCGGGCCACACCTTCCTCTAGCCTAGGAATGGATAGACCAGGCAAGGAATTCACTGTGGCATGTGCAGATGGTTCATTTCAAGGAACCGTGGAAGGCCTGTGTGGGTCCTGAGGTAGGGCAGAATCGGAGTGTGCAGGGTCTGCAGGTCAGGAGGAGTTGAGATTGAGTTATCAGGCAGTGGGAACTCACTGCCACTTACTTACCTTCTCTCTTCTTGCCTCACCCTCAGGGATGTGACACATGCCCATGATGAGAAGCAGAACATGGTGACTTTTCACGAACATAGGCATGGTTGCGGACCCCTCATCATCAGGTGCATAGCAAGCGAAAGCCAGTGTTCACAACAGTGAAAAGTTTAGCATCATTTTTCTTAGTGTGCCAAGAGTTCAATGTTAGCCTTTCCGTTGTATTTTCCTACAGTATGCCATTCTGTTAGATATTAGTGTTTTCATTGATGAACAAGACATACTTAACGCATATTTCAATTTGTGTATCCATGCACCTACCTTAGAAAACAAGTATTTTCAGGTATTCTCTCCATAGAACAGCACTACCCTCCTCTCTCCCCAGATGTGACTACTGAGGGCAGTTCTGAGTGTTTAATTTCAGATTTTCTCCTCTGCATTTACACCCATACACACACACACACACACACACACACCAAGTACCACTATAAGCATCTCCCATCTGCTTTTCTCCATTGCTATGCGTCCTGGTCAAGCCCCCCTCACTCTGTTTCCTGTTCAGCATGCACTCCCCTCATCCGATTCCCCTCTATCAGTCATTGACAGTTGATAAGCATTTGCAAATGTTTCCCAATTGTTTGTTCCTCTCATTATTGTGCACACAGTTCTGTGCACGTGTGTAAATATTTCTTTAGGATAGATTCTTAGAAGTGCAATTGTTGCGTCAAAAGAGTCATTTATTCAACAAAAACCTAATGAATGCGAACTGGTGCTGAGCGCTGTTCTAGGTGCTGGAGAGACATCAGGGAACAAGGCAGACAGATGTTCCTGACCACCATTCTAGAGGAGGATGTTTCCAGTTGTTGGGTTTGTTTGTTTATTTGTTGGTTCTAGAGACAGGATCTTGCTCTGTCCAGGCTGGAGTGCAGGGGAATGAACATAGCTCAATGCAGCCTTGAACTCCTGGGCTCAAGCAATCCTCCCACCTCAGCCTCCAGAGTAGCTGTGACTGCAGGCACGTACCATCGTGATCTACTAATTTTTTTTAGGTTTTGCCTAGAGAGTCTCGCTATGTTACCCAGGCTAGTCTTGAACTCCTGGACTCAAGCGATCCTCCCACCTTGGCCTCCTAAAGTGCTGGGATTGCAAGCATGAATCTCCTTGCCTGGCCTCCAGTTTTTATTTTGATAGAGACCATACACTTCAGTCCTGGAGCAGGATTCTGCAGCAAGTGGTTGGGCATCTTGGCCTTCACTCTCTGAACGATTTTCAAGTTCTAGGGCTGGGACGGTCCATTTGGGAGTATGTGGGAGGAGACACAGATGAAATCGTCATCTGGGGAACGTGGAGGAATGAGGAAGATGTGTGCACGGTAGACCCTGTGATGGACAGGGAATAGAAGAGTCCACTTAGTCTCCATGCAGGGGAGCAACGGTGGGAAAGTCCCCTGGACAGAAGCATGAGACTGCCCATCAAGGGTCTCACCAACCAAGGGCCTGGAGGCTGGGGTGGGGACGATGATTGGGGAATGGGTCAGTTCTTTCTCACAGGTACCACTGCACGGTGCAGAGGTGAAACTGTTGTGGGGCAGGGAAGGGCAGAGGGGAGTCTGTTTTAGAACAAATCATTGTGTGTGAATGAAGACATTAAGGCTCCATTCACACACAACAGACTTGAAACACCAGCCCCAGGTGGAGGCAGGAGTCCACAACCCATCACCTTGGCCTCCTGGTTCTCCCCAGCCTTGGAAGGAGGACACTATCATCATTATGCCTATATGATAGAAGAGAGACGGAGTCCCAGACAGATGGTAGGCGTCTTGTCACAGGTCCTACAGCTGACAGGGGCAGGAGAAGCTGAGTTTGGAGCTCACTGACTCTAGAAACATTAAGGAGGACAGGTGTGTATGATGGATGGAGGGAGAATTGAACAAGTGCCAGGTTCTGCCCCCAGTCACAATGTAGAGGCTGTGGGATCATTTACCCAAGACAAGGAGCGCTAGGAGAGAGAGAGTGCAAGGATGGAGAGGCAGTCGTAGTCACAGCAGGGACAGTGGGAGACAGAGATATGCAGGGTGGGCAGAAGAGGGGCAAGCAAAGAAGCTGGGAGACCCAAGGCCAAGTGTGGGCTGTCACAACCACCAGAGGGAGAGGGTGCCAGGAAGGAGGCTGTGGGGCTCCAGGAGCAGCAGAGGTTCCCCAGATCTGTGAGCATGCCCTGCCTGGCACTGCAGGAAGAGGTGGCTGCCACCCAGGTCAGTGTGGACGTACCTCTTCCTGTCTCAGAGGAAACAAATTCTGTTTTATCCCAATATAGTTCTGTATTACACAAATGTGACATTCGGCTACTAGATATTGAGTGCCTTATCCTCCATGCAAATAGAGGAGAGGATGCCCCAAGAGAGATACTGAAGGTTTTGATTTTTCTTTTTCCCTGGGAAGATGGGATCCATAAGTTGGGTCCCCCAGCCCTCCAGACAGGTGCAAGGAAGGGTGGCTGGAAGATTGTGAGTCATGACAGGGAACATTTTTCCCTAGGTTCCTTGGGTGTATAAAGCTCCTGACTGTCTATCATGTGTAGATAAAGAGTGAACATGGTCCCCTCTCCACAAATGTGTTTCTCTCCTTCATTATTACTGTGAAGGGCTGAATTTACAGCAAGTCATGATACACTACTTTTGTGGTTTTTTGAGACAGGATCTCACTCTGTCTCCCAGGCTGGAGTGCAGTGATGCAAGTCCAGCTCACTGCAGCCTCGATCTCCCAGGCTCAAGGGATTCTCCCACTTCTGCTTCCAAACTAGCTGGAAGTACAGGCACACGCCACCACACCCAGCTAGTTTTTGTATTTTTTCTAGAGAGGGTGTCCACTATGTTTCCCAGGCTGGTCTCAATCTCCTGGCCTCAGCAATCCTCCTGCTTCAGCCTTTCAATGTGCTGGGATGACAAGTGTGAGACACCTCGCCAGGCCTTCACTTTCTTTAATGAACAATTATCAGAGTTTCATCTTAGAGGCAAAAGTGGCTACTGCCAGCCAATCTGTCTGTGGTGTTGGAGGGGAATCTGGCTGATTCAGATGTTTCCAATGAACTTTTAAATTAACCTACCTGATGACTATCCTAAGGCCCTTTCCAGCTCCGTGTTTTTTTGATTCAGAGTGTGGAGTTTTTCAGAGGCTTTATTACAAAGAGCCTCTCCTGGCCGGGCGCGGTGACTCACACCGTGATGCCAGCACTTTTGGAGGCTGAGGCAGGCAGATCACTTGAGGTCAGGAGCTCGAGACCAGCCTAGCCAAAATGGCGAAAGCCCTGTCTCTACTGAAAATACAAAAATTAGCCGGCCGTCGTGGCAGGCCCCTGTGAATCCCAGTTACTGCAGGAGCTGAGGCAGGAGACTCCCTTGAATCCGGGAGACAGAGAGTGCAGGGAGCCGAGATCACGCCACTGAACTCCAGTCTGGGTGACAGAGTAAGTCTCTATCTCAAAAAACAAACAGCATCTCATTCCTACAGTCATTTGAGCTGCGGTCTTTTCTACCTGGGTTTCTCTATCAGTCTGATC